AAGAAAATTGGGACACATAAATTTTTTAAAATAATGACATTTTTGACATTATTGCTAATATTTATAAAGTATGGATATTCTTACTAAATATGTTATTTATTTTGACTAATTTACTAATTTTTCCTAAAATAAAATCCCTTAATAACATATCTAAGCACATAGATACTTGGGCTTTTAAAAAAAAAGTGATTGTAAGGTTTCAAAATAAATAGGCGGTGACATAAGTCTTAAGTATTGGGTGTAGGTGACAATTATGTGATTAATGATTAAGGATTGTGGAGTTACCCTCAAGTTTATAAGTTGACAGTTTGACCCATTGAATTAAATGAAAGGTAAAGGGGTAAATTGACTAAAATCTAATTTAACCAATTTTGATGGGAATTAAAATTGGGGGAAGCCATCAGCAAGTTGTACCAAAAGTGGAAATAAAATATTTTCCCTCCACCTCTCATCGTATTCTTCTTCTTCCTCTTCCTCTTCTTCTTCTTCTTCTTCTTCTTCTTCTTCGTTCTTGCTTGCTTGATTGTCTTTCTTCCCATTCTCTTTATCTTTTTCTTCTTCTTTTTGTACATTATTGGTCTTGGCTGCTAGTCCTTGAGCTTTCTTCTTTTCTTCTTCTTGAATCAGATTTAACTAATTTAATCAGTGGATCAGATTTCATTTCGTATCAATTGAAATTACTTTCATAAATGATTAGGGTCACACACTATTATTTTGATATGTAAAATTAATAGTTCTTTGAAATCATTCATCATCATCTGGGCACCTGCAATTGTTTCAATAATTTGCATTCACGTTTCCAACAGATTACAATATATTGCAACAATTGACTATTGGATCAAATTATAGTCATATGTAGCAATAAATCAATAGCAACAGAATAGACATATGTTGCAACATATAACTTACACAAGTTGCAACATATAAGCTAGACATGTAGCAACATATGACTTACATGTCGCAACTGACATGATAGTTATATAATACCCTTGTAAATTATTGTTTCAAGTGTCATAGCATATTTTTATTGCTTAATTATGGTTCAAAGTACTAAAATTTTGTCCAATTTAACATTTTTTTCATTCCTAAATCGCTCAATTTATCGATTATCTTTGAAGTGACATATGTGACAACATATGCATGTTTTGTTGGAAAAATAGCAACAGAAATGTCATAAGTGACAACATATGTATATCATAAAATGATCATTTGGGGGTTAATTCAATTAAATTGTCACCTAATTCAATATGTAACAGTAATAGATAGTCCTACAACATGTATAAGTACAAAATTATGGTCTAATACAACAACCTTCATCAATTCTATCAATTATTTTTACAAAGACTATCATACCACTACTTCATCATACAATGACAAGTAACTACATATGATAGTTATATAGCACCCTTGTAAATCGTTGTTTCAAGTGTTATAATATATTTTTATTGCATAACTATGGTTCAAAGTACTAAAATTTGGTTCAATTCGACATTTTTCCATTCTAAATTGCTCAATTTATTGATTAAGTCATCATTGAAATGACATGTGTAACGACATATGCACGTTCTGTTGGAAAAATT